TCGATAGTTACCTTCCTTTAGCGAAGTCTAGTTTTCTGCTTCCACTTCGGAAAGAGAGTACACACCAGTTCTAATAGATTAGCACCCCTTAGTCAACATGGAGGATATGCTGCACCAACTTTAGGAAACTATCGAGAATATGCAGCTAGATACTGCCCGCCAAGTGGAAGTCACCTCCTGCCAAGCGAAGATTGTAGACCAGTACGCTGAGTTGATTAATAGGCTCCAGCAGAAACAATAACCACAACAAGCAGCAGCTTCTGCTTCACATCCACCCCTAGTCAGGGTTCCAATACCCGGGATTACAGGACAGGGTAACCCTACCCCATCATAGGGGTGTTTTGGCTCTCACTTGCTTGATGCGTGCTTTTAGAGTAAACCTTGCAGGAATGTATGTATCAGTTGCAAGTCTGGGTATCAGTTTGAGGGTATCAGTTTTGAGGCAGAAATTTGGGACAGAAATCAGTGTTTGAGTACAGTTATCCAGCTTAAGATTGCAACTGTGTGTTGTTTCTGTCTGAGCCGAGATACTGTGCGTTTTTTTATTTTTGTTTCTTTTGCTTTATTTTGTTTTTGCAAGATAGTGTTTCATAATTGCTTCAGATGAGGCAATTACCCCCCAAGCACTCTGGACTCGAGTAAGGCAACTTTACCGATCTGGGGATCTTGTAAGAGGACAACCAGTGTTTGCTTCGCTACCCCCGGTTACGAGATGGAGGAGAGTCAGGCATAACTCACCAGTTCGATAGTTACCTTCCTTCAGCAAAGTCCAGTTTTTTGCTTCCACTTCGGAAAGAAAGTACACGCCAGTTCTGATAGATTAACACCCCTTAGTCAACATGGAGGATATGTTGCACCAACTTCAACAAACTATTGAGAATATGCAGCTAGATGTTGCCCGCCAAACAGAAGTCACCGCCTGCCAAGCGAAGATTGCAGCCCAGTAGGCTGAGTTGATCACTAGGCTCTAGCAGCAACAACAACCACAACAAGCAGCAGCTTCTGTTTCACATCCACCCCCAGTCAGGGTTCCAATACCCGGGAATATAGCTAATGTCCAGGAAAATGCAAACATTCTAGTAGAGCCAGTTCCACCCCAGACTTCCAAAGCATCGGTTTACCCAACGGAGGCACCGTTTGAGTTTGAGGTCGACCCTACTGCACTGAAAGTGAGCAAGCTTGAGAAGCTTTTCAAACGAGCTCAGGGTGTCAATTCAATCCCGGATATAGAGGATGACAATATCGATGCAGTGGTGACTTCGCCAGATAGATTTAAAATGCCACATATAGATCGCTTTAATGGCTCGGGTGATCCTGTGATCCACTTACAGCTATTTTTAGATATTCTGCGGCCGATGGGCTTAACTAAACTACAGTTGTTATCCCTTTTCAGCCTGACCTTGTCAGGTATCGCGGCCATTTAGTATATAAAACTTGAGGATTCTGTAAAGAGGAACTGGGAAGAGATGGTTGAGGCCTTTATTGCTCAATACTCATAAAACACTCAAATAGAGGTTACAACTCGTGATCTCGAAGCAACTCGCCAAGATCCGAAGGAGGGTTTCTCCGATTTCATCACTTGGTGGAGGGCCAAGGCCTCCATGATGACCACTTGACCAACTGAAAAGGATCAGATCAGAATGGTCGTCCGTAATCTGTAACCGAGGCTGATACAACAGATGATAGTCTTACCTCTGCTTACATTTGCTGACCTCTCTGAAATAGGGATGCAGATAGAGGATGCTATGAAATAGGATCTGATAGACCACGAGAAAGAGCAGCCCAAGAGGGCTTTTACACGCAGCTCCAATGTGGCTACAAGTAGTAATGCAGCTGTAAGGACCTCTAATGTTGGTATGGTCACCACCACACCGAAAACTGCCACCTCCTTTGCCAATACATCTGATACAACCTCACAAACCGTGAAGCACCAACCCCGAGGCCAGTGGGTTTTCACCCCACTCTACATGTCTCTATCTGCAACCTTGAGGGTCCTGATCAAAAAAAAGCATCTGAAGCCCCTAGAGCCACACCCATTGCCTAATCCCCTCCCTCCTACACACAACCCAGCCAAATACTGCGCCTTTCACCAACAGCATGGTCATGACACTGACCTATGCTTTAGATTGCATCATGAGATTCAAGATCTCATTGACAATAAAGTGATAGCGCCCCCCTCAAAATTCTAACGTCACTACAAATCCTCTCCCATCACATAACCAAGCCCCTCCATCCCAGCAAATAAACCTTATCCAAACACTGGTCATCCCGTACGACCCCATTGATCGTTGGTGGTATATCAACGATGTTGGTATTGTTCCATAGTAGAAGATGGTGATGGCATTTTTCTATAGTGGTGATTCTAATCATGGCGATAGTTTTGAACAACAGTGTCTATCTTGTCTTTTTTCCTTTCAACCCTTCATTTTTTGTTTCCAGATTTGTATTATTTCTAATATCGACCGAACCAACCGACAAACCGCACGGTTTGATTCGGTCGATTTCAAACTACTGGCCGGTCGACAACGGATAACCTATAATTTCACCCGCAATTTTAAAGTCTTGTACAAAGTTACCATACAAAGGTTATGCCATTCATCACATATTATGCAAGGAGATTATTGCAAAAATCTTTCTTTTTATAAACTGGTGGGTCCAATCTCAATCATTGTTTACAAAGACCAAATACAAAAGAAAAGTCTTCAAAAAAAAAAAAATACCTAGGTCTATCTGAAGCTACATAATTCCTAACTACAAAGCAAAAGCAAAGCAAAGAAACTCAGCAACCTATCCTCGCTCTCCTCCTCCACGGCTGCAGAGGAGGTGCATCACTGTCGTCACTAGGGCTGCTAAACTGCAGGCCCACCTCCTTCCCCTCCTCCTCGGGGGTCGTGTACTCATCAAAAGACTCCTCGGAGAGTGAGCGCTGTCTCACTCGGCCTCTCCTTCGATCAGCCCATCCTCCGTCTCTCATTGGGTCCCGTCTCCGTCTTCTAGCTGGAAGAGGTCCTGCAGCTGCAACTGGTGCTGGCTCAAGCTAAAAAAGAGTACAGATATCAAAAACTTATTATCATGTCCTCAAATTTTGGGACGTTACACGACCGACATATATCCATATATTATATAATATTTTCCCTACTTATTGTATTGTTATTGGTGCAATTCAATTATATTTTATATGTAATCTAGGGATCTTTACCAATTTTTGACAGTCCCTCTCTCTTTCTCATCGAAACTACTGCTCATTCTCTGCAACATACATTAATTAAGCCGACATGCTCTCTCTCAACATTGATGGCTTTCTCCTTGAGGCATTCATTATCTCTGACTCATCTTCACACAAAAATGCTGACCATCTCTCCACCTAACCTCTCTCATTTTTCAAAAAAAAAAAAATCTTTTGTATGTCTCTTCCATTAATGCATTGATTTCTCTCTCCTCTCTTCCATTTCATTCCATTTACTCTCTTTTTCTTGTTGAAGGGTATATCTCTATTTTCCATTTCTTTATGTCTTTCAAATATCCTTCTCTCTTTCATTACACTAGTCATCTCTCTCTCATGCGTTTTGACTCTCTCTCTCTCTCCCAAAACCCTTTGGCCTCTTCAATCTCCCTTCCTCTGAATCTCAATCTACACTACCATCCCAGCCAGCTTTTGTAGCTCTTTAGCCTTTGTTGGCACCTCAAGCTCTTGTATTGCTTTTATTTGATCTGGATTTGCCTCGATTCCTCTATGAGTAGCCATGTACCCCAACCCGAAAGTGCATTTCGAGGCATTGAGGCGAAGCTGATGGTTTTTTAAGATACTAAAAACTTGTCTTAAGTCTGCAAGGTGGTTTGTAGCAAGCTTGTTTTTTACTACCATATCATCTATATAAAGCCTTTATGGTTTTTTCGAGTTGGTCCTTGAACATTCGAGTGATCATTCGCTGGTAGGTTGCCCTGGCATTCTTGAGGCCGAACGACATTACTTTGTAGCAATAAGTGCCTCTTGGAGTGATAAACGATGTCTTTTCTTGATCTGGGCCGAACAGTGGTATCTGGTGATAACCGCTATAAACGTCTAGAAAGCTCATACGCTCATGCCCTGCTGTTTAATCTACTAGTTAATTGATGCGAGGTAGAGGAAAACTGTCCTTGGGACAAGCTTGGTTCAATCAGGTGAAGTTAATGCAGACTCTCCATTTCCCGTTCTTTTTTTTTACTACAACAATGTTAGACAGCCATTGTGGGTACTAAATTTCTCTAATCGCTCCCGATACTAGGAGTTTTTCGACCTCGGCAATTACTGCTTCAGTGTGTTCAACTGACGATCTCCGACTTTTCTACACGATTGGCCGAGCAGAAGGGTTGATGTTGAGTTTGTGGCAAGCAAATTCTAGGTTCAATCCTGGAGTATCATACGCCGACCATGCGAATACCTCAATATTTTCCCGCAGCAATTTCAGTAGCTGAAGTTTCTTATCAATGCCTAGCGAGGTACCGATAAGGAAGTACTTTTCTAGATCATCCTCATTTACCAGGACTTTCTCCAAATCCGCTATTATCTTTTCCGCTGGGGCTCCCCCTACATCTTCAAAGACTGGATGTTCGGCCACTTCCACTATCTGCACCTGATTGCAAAGTTGTTTAGCCTTCATTGCTGCCATGAAACAATGTTTGGACGCAACTTGGTCCCCTGAGATCTGCTCTACTCCATGTTTTGTTGGGAAACACATGAGCTGATGGTAGGTTGAAGGGACCGCTTCCATTTGGTGAATCCATGGACAACCGAGTGTGGCATTGTAAGGAAAAGGTGTATTAATAACTAGAAACTCTATATGGAGGGTCTTCGTTCTAGCCACAACCGGCAACACTATCCGCCCAAGTGGCCACTCAAGCTGTGAATTGAAGCCGACCAATGGAGCTGCCACTGGGGTAAGGTGCTGCTCGGAGAGACCGAGCTTTCTGAACAAGTCGTAATACAATATATATGTTGCACTGCCTTGATCTACCATGACTCATTTCACGTCGAACAGTTTCCCAATTCCCATAGTTATAATTAGTGCATTGGTATATGGGTGTTGAATGCCTTCTAAATCCTTTCTAGTAAATGAAACAGTGCACAAGGGGGACTTGGGTACTATGCGTACCTTTTTCGGCACGGGCCCTACTGACATGACTTGCTGAATTTGCACAGCCTTAGCAATTTCTTCTTTCAGTGCCTCTTCACGCTTCTGGGTTATTGTTCCATGGCTCACATTTATTACCAGTCGAGGAGGGTGTTCGACGTTCGATTTTGGTAGCGGGTTCCCCTGTTCGGCCACCGCTTTATCCTGATCAACGTAGTCTCGGAGGTGTCCAGCTGCTACCAAATCTTCCAGGTGTTGCTTCAGTACTTTGCAATTCTGAGTCATATGCCCCCTGTCTTGATGATAGGTGCATCTGAGCTTCTGATTACGCCGAGCTGGATCTCCTAACATTTTCGGCGGCCAAATAAAGAAGGGCACTCCCTTGATCTTTTCCAAAATGCGATAGATTGGTTCTTTTAATACGATCTCGACTACTTTGTGAGATTTGGACTTATCCACCTCATTCACCGTGAGTCCCCAGTGTTTCCCTCGGTCCGTTCTCTTCTTGTGCTGAGCTGTTTGTTCTGTTGATGCTACCTCGATGGGGATCTGGTCATCTTCGAGGCGAGCGTACTCCTCAATCCTAGCACGCAAATCTTTCAATGCTATGGCCGGGCGCTTGGTAAGCGACTATCTCAACTTACTTTCCGGGCGCAGACCATGTTTGAAAGACGTAACAGCCATCTGCTCACTGCAAACGTTTTCCTCCAGGTTATTGTACTCTTCCCAATACTTCCTAGCATAATTGTGCAACGTTTCTTCCGGTTCCTTTCGAAGACCGAACAGTGTATCCGGCTCTTCCGGGATCTTAGTGTTGGGGACGAACCTAGCCAAGAACTCTTCGGAGAGCTGCTTCCAGTCATAAATTGATCCAGCGGGGAGTCGATCAAACCATCGAAGTCTGGATTCTCCCAATCTAGACGGGAAGACTTTGCACATCAGTGCTTCGTCTCGCCCCTTTATTTCTTTCTTTGCCAACACAAACAAACGATATTGTATGTACGGTTCATTCATAGGAGTTCCAGCTAAAATCATTCGTGCCACGGTAAAATCATCATCTATTTTACAATTGAAATTAAAAAGTAATTTTCATGACATAATTAGCAAATTATTTGACGGTAATAAGAAGCTCAACAAGTAAAAATTGAATGTCATGATATCCACTTTCTAAAGGCTGTCACGTATCAAATAGTATTGAAATAAAATTTCCGTGGAGACAGACAAGTTGATAAATGAACTGTATTCATACATGAATTTAGTTTCTTATGTAAGTAATTACAATTGAGACTTATGTGTTTACTTCTACAATTAAATAAGAATTCAGAACAAATAAAGAATGTAATCATTTTATCTTTTCCTGTTCTAATGACATATGCAAAGAAAACGGTCAAATTTCAGGGCAAGTATTAGTGTACAGGAACCTTGGTCTTCACTTTGGGGATATTCATGTTTTGAAAACTGTCTATGTAAAGGCACTAGAAAACTTTATCAGAAATGCAAAATATGCTATATTTTTCTCAACTAAGGGCCGGAGATCGGTAAGCATTGGGTCTCCAAGAACCTAGAGGTTGACATTTATGCTTCATTCTCTTTTTCCTTCTTATTACTTGTATGTTTTTTTATTTCTTCAGATGTCTTATTTTTAATTGAAATTTTTTATATTGAGAATGTTGATCCCTAAATATCATCAACTAGTAGGTGGCACGCATGAATATGCAGTATGTTTATAATTCTAGAGAGCATTAGGGACATATGGAAGAGGTAATTCCTTGAGCATGCAGTCCGTATTTATCTTCATTTCTCAAAAATTGCATGTGTATGGGTTGTTATTAGTTGGTACATTGAATAGCTTGATATAGATTGTTGGACTTATAAAAGCATAAGTTTTGGGACTAATGGTGATCTCATGTTGATGAAGGTCTTGTGTTCTAGTCTTTCTTTTTACATTTGTTTCCCATTTGCTCTTCTCGTTTGATGTTGCTAATGCTAAGTTTGTGTTTGTGTATTTTCTAGATTCCTCCTTTGCCAAGCCTTGTCTGGAGATTTGATTTTCAGTTCCAGCGGCATTGGTGCTAATAGTGTTGATCAAGAGGGCACATGGAATGGTCAACTTTTTGCCTATTCCCTCTGTAAGTGATAATTGTTGTTTTATTTGCTCCTTTTGTGTTATTGTGTTATTGCCTCTGTAAGTTTAAGAGAAATAATTGTGTGTTAGTCTTTTTAAGTCCTTTATGTTCTCTGCTATGCTGTCGTTGAATGAAGATGTGAACAAGCAATCATCATAATGTGGATTGTTCAAAACAAAGTAAATAGGTTGAAACTAATAAAATTAAATGTCTAGCTTATAGGTTGAAATTTATGGATACTTGAACACTTTTTTTTTCTTTTTTTTTTAAAGTGAGAGAGAGAAGAAAAAAAATGGTGTAAACTGTTGGTCTCCCCTTCTCTAACCATTTGGTCTAACCCTTTCGTCTCTCTCTAACCATTATTTTTTTTCTCTCTCTAAACCTTTCGACTCTTTTCCTTTCTCTCGTCTTCCACTCTCACTCAATCTTATGGCTCCTTTTTTGAGAAGCAAAAAAACAGGGTCTATCTTATGGCTCCTTGAATCTGATGGTCTTCTCTCATGATATACTCAAAAAAACGTTTTGCCTAACTCTCTTATCTCACTTTCTCTCATGATTCATCTCTTTTTGAATCTATAATGGATTCCTAAATTCTTTGGTGGTCTCATTTACCCTGAAGATTTGAAAACTCTCTAAAGGTTGAAGACGAAAATCGTCCTACTGGTGGCGGTCTCACGGCTCATAATTCACACAAAATCTAAGCAGAATCTGTGTTATTGGTTGTTTTATAATTTTAGTTTGTAAATGGTTTTACTGATGTAGTAGTTCATTATGTTCTTCTTGTTTAGCCAAACATTCTTTCCATTATTTTCTAATTTTTTAATTTTCTTCAGATTGTAAATGGGTTTGTAAATATTGTGAGATTTTGTACTTTATTTTGTTACCCGTGCAATCCGACTGAACCCGGCCGCGGAACCGCAAAACATGAACAGACGGTTTCGAGCTGTGGTTCAGTCGATATCGGATGGCAACCTATCCAACCTAAATGTATTCGGTTCAGAACTGGTTTTAGGCCCAACCCAGCCCAAACCGACCCGCAATACATGCCTCATACTCTGTTTCGTTGTTTGATACCTTTAACCGGAGTTTGAAAGTTAAAGCTATGTGGAAATTGTCGGGTGCTATCAGCAACACCCCTATCCCATACCTATACTGGTTAGACGCTCCGTCAAAGTACATAGTCCAAATCACTTCTCCAACCAGCAAAATGGCCTCATCTGGGAACAGATACTCTACTGCTTCATCTCCCTTCACTGGGTGATCGGCTAGGAACTCCACTACTGCTCTCCCTTTCACAAACTTGCGAGTCATGTACTTCAAATCAAATTTGGAGAGAAGAAGCAACCAACAGGCTAGCCTACCCGTAAGCACTGGTTTCTCGAAGAAATATTTGATGGGATCCAATCTTGAAACCAATATTACAGAGTGAGCTAATAGGTAATGCCTCAACTTCCTGGTAGCCCATACCAAGGCCAAACAAGCCTTCTCAAACGGAGTGTAACGGGTCTCATATTCCAGCATCTTCTTGCTTAGGTAATAGATAGCCTTCTCCACTTTCTCCTCAGATTCATGCGCAAGCATGCAGCCTATTGTTGTGTTGGTTACTGACAGGTACAATATCAACGGTTTCCTCGGCTCTGGCAGTGACAACACGGGCGGGTTCTATATATACTGTTTAATCTGCTCAAAAGCAACTTGGCATCGGTCATCCCATTGGAATTTCTTTCCTTTCTTCAGGAGACCAAATAGTGGTTCACAAGTCAAGGTTAATTTTGCAATAAACTGTCTTATGAATTGCACTTTACCCAGAAAGCCTCGCACCTCCTTTTCAGTCCTTGGTGGTGTTTTTTCTAGTATGGCCTTGATTTTGGAAGGATCGACTTCGATGCCCCTTTGTGTAATCAAGAACCCCAGCATTTTCCATGCTGTAACACCAAAAGTACATTTCTGAGGATTCAGTCGCAACCGATACTCTCTGATCTGTTAGAAAAATTTCTTCAAGGCGGTGTAGTGGCCTTCTCTTTCCTTGGACTTGACAATCATGTCATCCACGTACACCTCAACCTCTTTATGGATCATATCGTGCAAGATCGTAGTTGCAGCCCGTTGATAAGTAGCCCTAGCATTTTTCAAACCGAACGGCATCACCCTATAGCAGTAGGTTCCCCACGGGGTGGTGAAGGCAGTCTTCTCCCTATCCTCGGGTGCCATCAAGATCTAGTTGTACCCAGAAAACCCATCCATAAATGAGAGCAGCGCATGCCCAGCAGTGAAATCCACCAATTCGTCAATATGCGGCAAAGGAAAGTCGTCCTTCGGACTGGTTTTGTTTAGATCTCAGAAGTCCACACATACCCGAATTCTTCCGTCTTTCTTCGGCACCAGAACTATATTGGCCAACCAAGTAGGATACTCAGATACTAACAGGAACCCTGCATCAATCTACTTGGTGACCTCTTCTTTGATTTTCAGAGCCAAATCCGGGCGGATCCTTCGACGCTTCTACGCTTCTACTTAATAGGTCAAGCCTCATGATCAAGAGAGATCCGGTGCTGTACAATCTCAAGATCGATTCCAAGCATGTCTTCGTAAGACCACGCGAAAACATCTTTGAAATCTTTTAATAAAGCGACTAAGCGCTCCCGTTCCTCAGAAGACAACGTGGACCCAATCTGGACCATCCGCGGATCCTTCTCAGTACCAACGTTAATTGAAGTGATTTCATCAACCAAAGGTATTACAAACCTCTCCTTCTCTCGATCAATCAAGTGTTTTAAAACTGGAGGAATTTCTTCCACGTCGTTGTCATCAAAATTTTGAAAGTCCTAATTAATGCAATAAACTAAAGGCACAAAAAAGTACTCAGAAGCCACAGCGGTACCATTCTCATTAACAACATCCAGTTCGTCTGATTCTTCGGTTACAACCGACTCAAAAGAAAATGAAAAAGACGACCTGCACAAGACAACGGCATCCGGGTTATCAACCCCAGGAATACCGAACTCTGACTTAGAAGAACTAAAATCTGATTCCGACTCCACGGACTTTGTGGAATTAGATTTTGGTTCACTACCTGACCCAGAACTGCTTGATAAAAAGCCTTTCTCGTACTGCAAGACAAGGGAGGGTGTGGTAGATGCGTCCAGAATGCCAAAAGAAGGGCCCACAACCATTTGATCCTCAATCATGGAAACGGAGAAGTCAACCCCCGAGCTCTCTGGTATA